GGGCTCGGGGCCGCCCTGGGCTCACCCACCGCCCGCCTGTCCGCTCCGGGGACCCGCCTCCCCCGCGGGGTTAGTACGGTGAGGGCACCCGGGCTGTGCCCGGGGTCTCCGGCGGGGACGGGTCGGCTCTTCCTCCCGTGCTCCCCTCATCCAGCCTCGCTGGGGCCAGCGGGGCCGGGCGGGTCTGTGCGTGGGTCTGGGCTCGGGCTTGTGTGAGGTGCGTCCCCCCGTGTCCCGGAGACCCAGGGTCTCTGTCCTCGGGGCCCCTCGGCGGCTCCCCGCCCACCTGCACACAGCCCGGCCCCAGCTGCTCTGGGCCTGGGGGACCCGCACCATGACTTTGGCCGTCTGTGTCCTGGGGTTCTGGAGGGCAGAGCGGGGGCTTCTTCTCCCTTCTTCCCCCACACATGCCAGGCCCCGGGGGTCAGCAGGTGCCAGCGCTGGGGCAATGCCTGGGGCCCCTGAGTAGAAATAGAAAGTTAATTTGGGCAGGAGCTGGGCTGCTGCTGTCCGGCCTGCCGCCCTGTGCCCGCTGCTCTATTAATACAGCTCCCTGCCCCACTGCTGGCATCGCTATTTATAGCTCAGAGCGGGGCGGCCACACCCCCTGCACGGGGGAGGGGCACAGCATGGACCTCAGTCTTCTTGGGGCGAGGGTGTGGGGGTCCTTAGATCCCACAGCCTCCTTGGGTGAGCCTGGCCCCACTGGGATGGAAGCTACCCAGACTCCTCACCTCCTCCCAGCCGGGACCTGGTGGTCAGCCGCTGCCCCTCACCCCCTACATCAACCTGGGGTTGAATGGGTCTGTCTAGACCCTTCCAACTCATCATTAATTGGCTTGTTAAATGGCTGAGAGGAGAGGGGGAGGGCGCCTGGCTTTTTCTGAAGCAGCGGTGGTTGTAATTAGGTGGATGGCATGGTTGGCTATTATTCTTGCAGTTATGATTACTATGGGATCAGCTTCTCTTGATTGGTGGCTTGGCAGGGAAGGTTTGCCCTCTCCTACCCATCAGCCTTCCAACTGTTGGTACTGCCTGCCTGGGAGGGCTGTGGGTGTGTCAGAGAGGTGGGTGGCTTTGTTGTGTATAGTTTTCTGCTAAGCCTTCTCAGCCTTGCTCATCCTCTCCCCACCCTCCTCTCACAGCCAGGCCCAGGGCCCCCTGAGCGTCTCAGGTCTGCCCGAAGTGCCCACGTGGCCTGGGATGCCCCTTGCCCTTGCAACTGACTGAGCAGTACTGTCTCAGCGTCCAGGAATGTGGACTTCCCTGCCAGCCTTAACCCAGACTGGCATGAAGTTTGGGGTGCCAAGTGGCACCAGATTGGGTAGACAGGAGGCTGGGGCCAGAGGTATGGGCAGATTGGAAGGGTGAGTGGTAGAGAGCTCTAGGGCGCTGGCTTCTCCCAGCACTGCATCTTCTGCACCTGGTGTGGCCAGGAGGTGGAATTCTGCCAGCCAGGCTTAGTGCCTGTGGGCACTCCTGCTGCCATGCACCCTCCTGAGCCCCTGGCTACATTTTCTGGCTCCCACACACCCAAGCCTTCTATGCAGTTGCACTTCCTGGGCAGGACTGGGCTTGTATCTACCGCCCGGGAACGAATGTGCTTGGTTGAAGCAGGGCCCAATGGTCTCAGCCTGAGAGAACAGAGAGCAGAAGGTGTGTGTGTGTGTGTGTGTGTCTGTGTGTGTGTGTCTGTGTGTGTGTGTCTGTGTGTGTGTGTCTGTGTGTGTGTGTCTGTGTGTGTGTGTGTGTGTGTGTCTGTATGTGTGTCCATCCATCCCTGGAAGTTGCTGCCTCTCAAGGCAACCCTTCCTTCTCCCCCCCCCCCCAAGTGATTAGATGGATCATAAGTCCAGTTTGGAGTTGGGAGACATAACTGTTGATATTCTCTGAAGATGTCTGTACATTCACAAATACTGACCTTGAGAGGTCACAGGGTATTGTCCCATTTTTCTGATGAGATAACTAGACTCGGAAGGCAAGTGACTTCACTGGAAGATCTCACAGCTAGTAAGAAAAAGAAGAGTTAGGTGTGATGCTGAATGCCTATAATCTGAGAGTCATGAGTCTGAGGCAGGAGAATTGAGAGTTTGAGGCCAGCGTGGGTAAGCATCGTAAGACCCTGTCTCCAAAACAAAATAAACAGAGTTAGGGCAGGGCATGGTGGGGTATAACTATAATCCTAGGTATGAGAGAGGCAAAGACAGGGAGATGGAGTTTGAAGCCCTTCCTAGGCAAAATCTTGAGACTGGAACTGAAAAGTAACTAAAGCAAAAAAAAAAAAAAAAAGAGCTGGAGTGGGTCCGTGACTCAAGTGGTAGAGCACTGCCCTAGAAACCTCAAGCCCTGAGTTCAACCCTCCCCCCCCCAAGAAAACTAAATAAGAGGAGATTCTGTCCTGCCGGTGCCCGTTCCACTCTGCCCTGTGCTCTGGAGTCCTGGAAGGCCCTGTCTCAGGGGTTGGGTGTGCATTGTGCACACCGAGTTCACCTGGGGTAAGGCTGTGGAGTGCCGTGCCCGGGGAGGCTCTCACCCTGCCTTCTCCTTCAGAGCAGTTGCTTTCTCTGCAGGCTGCATGTTATGCCTGGGTCAGTCCACTTTCCTCCGCTTCAACCACCCCGCTGAAGCCAAGTGGATGAAGAGCATGATTCCAGCAGGGGGTCGGGCCCCTGGGCCCCCCTACAGCCCTGGCTCTGGTAGGTATCCAGTTGGGGCAGGGGGCTGGGTTGAACAACTGTTGTTGTGCACTCTAGCCACTCTCAGGGGGCGGATAGGGCAGTACCCATGGTCTGGGCTTGCTGCCACCTGCCATGGGCTCATGGAGAAAGCCAGGCGGCGGTGGGGCCACTGGAAGAGCTCCAAAGCAGTACTATTGGCGAAAACTGAGGAATCCTGTCCCTCGAGGACTAGAGGTTTCTGCCAGCCTGAGTGCACTTCCTGGAAGGTGCTGCTCAGTGTCTGGGACCATGGTCCTCTGTGTCACCACCAAAGAGCGTCACTCTGGAGGGTGATCCGAGCATTATGTTGAACCCCTGGTGAGCTCCGGTGGATCCCACAGGTTGGTGTTCCTACCTGACCCTCAGGCCAGGCCAGGCCGCGTCACCAGTGACTCAAGCAGCTGCAGGATGTGTGTGACTTATTGATCCTCCAAGGAGAACTGGGAATTGTTTCAACACAGAGCCACCTGCCTTGGGGGTTGGGGTGCAGGTCATGAGACCAGCAGTCGGTCCACCTTGTAGACTCCTGACATTCAGGTGCCAGATGGATATCTGGGTCAGGTGTGGCTGGCCGGGTGGTCGTCGGTGGCCTACATGTATAGTTGGTGATCTGAAGAATGGTGACGTGGTCACTGGGCTCACTGGTATCCATGGCAACCCCCTAGGTCCAATGCAGTCTATATCATTTTGTACCTAAACTCAGTCTGGCAGAGGCTTTTTCTTCTCTCCTCCACTTCAGTTGTCTTCTGGTCCTCCAGAGGACACCTAGAATCCCTGTTCACTCCCTAGCTAATTTCACCCTACTCACCCAAAGGCTATCATTCTACTGCCTGAACTCTATGGACAGTGCTTCCAAGGGCTCCAAACTCCTGGTTGGTTGAAAAGGGCTGGGCCCAGGCGAAGGCAGGCTCTTGCTGGCTTAACGGGGATAATTGGAGGCTCAGAAACTGCACCTCCTGGCTGTCCAGCCTGGCGTCCAGGAACCAGCCATTAGCAGAAGCCCCTCCCCTGTCTTTGATTGGACCTCCGAGTGTAGCACACTCCCTTACAACCCCGGAGGCTTTGTTCCCCTTGGGCCTTGGCTACTATAATGTCCTGTTAGACTAAGAGGCTCGGAATCTGTCATCTTCTTTGCCGAGTGCTCATCCCTGCCTTTTTAGAGAGGTATAGGAAGTTGGGGAAAATGAAGGCAGGAAAGAATGTAATGTTGGGGCAAGGAGGCAACAGCAAAACTTAGGTGTACCTGATTTTGTTGTTGACTGTCCTGAGTCATTAAATATTAGAGCCAGGAGAGCTCTAATTTTTTCTTTACAGAAGGGGAAACTGAGGGCAGGACTGGAGGCATGGATCAAGTGGTTCAGTGCCTGCCAAGAAAGCCAGCAGAATGAATTGGAGGCCCTAGGTTTAAGCCTGGTACCTGATTTTTTTTTGTTGTTGTTGTTGTTGATTGTGGGGCTTGAACTCTGGGCCTGGGCTCTTCAGCTCAAGGCGAGCGCTCTACCGCTTGAGCCACAGCGTTACTTCCGGTTTTTCTGATGGTTTATTGGAGATAAGTCTCACACGGAGTTTCCTGCCTGGTCTGGCTTTGAACCGTGATCCTCAGATCTCAGCCTCCTGAGTAGCTAGGATGACAGGCGTGAGCCAAAGTTAAATATCAGCACCCAAGACCTCTTGTGTTTTTGGTCAGCAGAATCAGAAAGCCTGGTGAATGGCAACCACGCCCCACAGCCTGCCACCCGGAGGCCCTCAGCCTGCGCCAGCCACAGCTCTCTGGTGAGCTCTATTGAGAAGGATCTGCAGGAAATCATGGATTCCCTGGTGCTAGAGGAGCCAGTAGCAGCTGGCAAGAAGCCTGCAGCAACCTCTCCATTGTCACCCATGGCTAACGGTGGGCACTACCTGCTGTCGCCCCCAACCAGCCCGGGAGCCATGTCTGTAGGCTCCAGCTATGAGAACACCTCTCCGGCCTTCTCTCCCCTCTCCTCACCAGCCAGCAGTGGGAGCTGTGCCAGCCACTCCCCCAGTGGGCAGGAGCCAGGGCCCTCCGTGCCCCCGCTCGCGCCTGCCCGCTCCTCCAGCTACCATTTGGCCCTGCAGCCCCCACAGTCTCGCCCGAGTGGTGCCCGCTCCTCTGACAGCCCCCGTCTGGGCAGGAAAGGGGGTCACGAACGGCCTCCTAGCCCTGGTCTCCGGGGTCTGCTGACTGACAGTCCTGCGGCCACAGTGCTGGCAGAGGCCCGAAGAGCCACCGAGAGCCCCCGGCTGGGTGGGCAGCTGCCCGTGGTAGCGATCAGCCTGAGTGAATACCCGGCTTCTGGTGCCCGCAGCCAACCCCCCAGCATTCCCGGCAGCCCCAAGTTCCAGTCTCCAGTCCCTGCTCCTCGTAGCAAGCTTGGCACACTCCAGGACCGTCCTCCCAGCCCCTTCCGGGAGCCTCCCCCCAGCAGCACCGAGCGGGGGCTGACCACCAGCCCCTCTCGCCAGCTGGTGGGCCGGACATTTTCCGATGGGTCAGCCACCCGCACGCTGCAGCCCCCCGAGAGCCCCCGCCTGGGCCGGCGGGGTCTGGACAGCATGCGAGAGCTTCCCCCATTGAGCCCCTCTTTGTCTCGCCGTGCTCTGTCCCCACTCCCTGCCCGGACCACCCCAGATGCCACCAAGCTAAGCAGGGACATGGCCGAGAGTCCACGGCCCCGGCGCTGGGCAGCCCACGGGGCTTCGCCCGAGGACTTCTCCCTGACTCTGGGGGCACGGGGTCGCAGGACACGGAGCCCCTCGCCCACACTGGGGGAGTCCCTGGCACCCCTCAAGGGCAGCTTCAGTGGCAGGCTGAGCCCAGCTTACAGCCTGGGCTCTCTTCCTGGAGCTTCGCCTCGGCAGAGCCCCCGTGCCCAGAGGAAGCTCTCCAGCGGGGACTTGCGGGTGCCTGTCACTCGGGAGCGGAAAAATAGCATCACCGAGATCAGCGACAACGAGGACGACCTCCTGGAGTACCACCGGCGCCAGCGCCAAGAGCGGCTCCGGGAGCAGGAGATGGAGAGGCTGGTAAGCAGGTGCCAGGCAGGCTGCCGCTGTCCAAGGCAGGGTCTCTGCCAGGGCATGGCAGGCCAGCCAGCAGAGCCAGAGGGGCTCATGGACAGCGTTTTAGAGTTCTGGTGTGCTGAAGAACTCTCTTTGAAACCTCCAAGGCGCCCGGCGCTGGTGGCTTATGCCTTTAATCCTAGCTACTTAGGAAGCCGAGATCTGAAGATTTCGGTTCAAAGCCAGTCCGGGCAGGGAAGTCCATGAAACTCTTATCGCCAATAGACCACCAGAAAACTGGAAGTGGCGCTGTGGCTCAGGCAGTAGAGCGCTAGCCTTGAACTGAAGAGCTGAGGGACAGCACCCAAGCCCCACAACCAACACCCCCCCAAAAAAAACCCCAAACCCTCCAAGACTTTTATTCTAAATTCTTGTTGACGTGGCATATGTTCTATGACATAGCATCTGTTTTAATATGTGAATTAAGTTTCATGTTATTTACCTAAGTACAGCGAAGTTCTAGGAAAACATACATTTGTGAACCTTTGCTGCTCTCCCTTTGTAGAATAGATGGCTAGGAGGGAAAGACAGAGGCCGCTGGGAGGAAAATGTATGTGTGTGTGGACACGTGTGGCCCGCGCGCACGCTCATGTGTGAGCCTGAGCACATGCTCTCTTGGGGATGCAACCTAGCCCCGTGCATCTGCTAGGCAAAGCACTCTACCATTGAACCTTGGAAATCAGAGTCACACAGCAAGTTCTGGCAAAGCTGGGAATCAGAGCCTCTGTCTTTCCACCTTTGCTGCTTGTTCTTTTGACAAGCTCCTGATCCTCCTGTCTTGGTTCTCTTTGGTCTGCACAGATAGGCAGGAGCTGCTCAGCTTGGCCCAGGTGTGGAAGGACCAGCGTGGCAGCCTGTGTCTTTGCGCCTATGCACAAAGGCCGGGTGTGGCTCTGGGCAGCTGTCCTGGAGATGGCATCTGAACTAGGTGGGGTCCAGGATTCCCCAGCTAGCTCAGGGCCTGCGGCTGGTGTACGCATGTGTGAGGCCACCCACAGTAGAACGGATTCCACCCTCTTTCCCTTGCGAGCAGAAGCCTAGCATTCTTGGAGACCTGGGACCGGAGCTGAGGTTTATCTGGAGACCCTTTGGGCAGGGCTGTCTAGTCTGGGGTGTGCTGTGTTTTGTGGGAGGCAGTATCCCCACTCTTCCTTTGTTGCATCCTTCCAGCACTGGTTTGCCCTGTCCCACCCTAAAGAATGCTTGGTCACTCCGAGGTCTTATCCTAAGAGGGGCAGTGAGCTGGGCATGGCAGCTGTGCGCCCAGCCTTCCCCAGCTGCTCTAGTCAGCCTCTTGGTCCCCACCCCCACTCCAGACACACCTCCCACCAGCCCCGACCTGCCCCACCTGCCACTTTAAGACTTGGGAGACTGCCTGCCCTGCCCCTCCCATCTCAGCCAGGCTCCTATCTGGGCCCTGAGGGTGGAGGCAGCAGGCACTGGCCCAGCCTCCTGGGTGCTGAGGCTCAGTTCCTGGATTTTTTTTTTTAAACCATGAAACTGGGCAAGCAGCAGGAGGGAAGCTGGGTAAGTGTTGAGTGGGCAAAACCGGGCAAATTGGGTGGTGAGAGACACTTGAGGTGGTGGAGGGACTCCAGAGAACCATGGGAGGCGCAGGGGCCAAGACTTAGGGCTGAAGGTGCTGTGGATGGACACAGAGGACTCAGACCAGGAACATGACTGCTGTCCGTCCTCCTAGGCCCCTGAGGTGGGCCCTTTCTAGGCATGGGGGATATACACCGGGTGGATTAAGTGGCCCAGGGCCACGGAGAGCTCAGCCCTAGGCCTGAGCATTCAGACTTTGCAGTAGCCCACCCTGCTGGCTGCCAGAGTGAATGCTTGGAGCTGTGGTGGGACAGAGGACGTGTTCCAGGTCTGTCTCTTCTCCATGTGTGTCTGGGCTGAGTGTCAGGTGCAGGCCTGTGGGTCTCCTTTCCAGCCCTGTCTGTGTGCAGGTGCCCATCTAGTTGTATGTAGACTGTGTTTATCCTTCCGAGTGTGCATTTGTGCGTGTCGGGGCTGGTACCTGTTAATACCAGTGTACCTGCCAGTGCCCATGGAGTGTCTGTCTGCATGTGCTTGTGGGGCAGTTCCAGTGTGTCGTTGTGCCCTGGTGCCTGTAGATCCACATGTACCTAGGCTAGCAGAAGCACCCGAGTTGAGCTGTGTCTCACTGTGGTCTTCAGCCCACCTGCTTGCAAGTGTCCTTGTGTGACCACAAGGAAGCCCCATCCTGAGCTTGCAAGAGAAAGGAAAGGAAACAGGAAAATGGGAGCACTGGCCATGTGGGCAGGTGGCACACAGCGTGGTTCCTCCTTCCCGCTTCTGGAGCAATGCTTTCTCTTTCTCCCACAAGTCTTGGGGTTGGGGCCTTACTTGATACTGAGCTTCTAACCCTCAGGACTGATTGACCTGGCTCCCTTCTCCCGCTCATGCCCTGCTCTGTCCACCTCCCCCAGGAACGCCAGCGCCTGGAGACCATCCTGAACCTGTGTGCTGAGTACAGCCGGGCTGACGGGGGTCCTGAGGCCGGGGAGCTGCCCAGCATCGGCGAGGCTACTGCGGCATTGGCACTGGCAGGCCGGAGGCCCTCACGAGGCCTGGCAGGGGCCATTGTAGCCTCTGGGAGGAGTAGCGAGGAGCCTGGAGGTGCTGCCCAGCGCCTGTGGGAGAGTGTGGAGCGCTCAGATGAGGAAAATCTCAAGGAGGAGTGCAGCAGCACAGAGAGCACCCAGCAGGAGGTGGGGCGCCCAGCAGGGAGGGCAGGGAGGAGAGACAGGGCCAGAGCCCAGTGTGTGTGTGCGGGGGGGGGGGGGGAGTGGGGAAGTAATGGAAGGATCATATTTGGGAAGACGACTGAGGCTGGAAGTGTGGAAAGGAGGAGGCCAGGAAGAGAAGGGAGGTGTTGATAGCTTTCCCAAGCTATAAGTGCTTTATGACCTGCCTGTCGGCTCCACCCAGGATTGGCACTCTGGTAAATTCCCTGTGGCTGAGCCCTCCTTACTGCCCCCCTGGCAGGGAGGGGACCAGCCTTCTGTTGAGTCTGATTATTGCTCCTTGCCCTGACGATCGGGGTGGTCAGGCCTCTGCGGTCTGATCTTGGAAGGTTCTAGGTTTCCCCAGCTGATGGCTCCTTTCTCCTCTTCAGCATGAAGATGCACCGAGCACGAAGCTCCAAGGCGAGGTGCTGGCCCTGGAAGAAGAGCGGGCGCAGGTGCTGGGGCGCGTGGAGCAGCTCAAGGTACGAGTGAAGGAGCTGGAACAGCAGCTGCAGGAGGCAGCGAGAGAGGTGAGCTCTCGAGGGTGAGCTGGCCGCAGAGCCCTGGGCCCAAGCAGGGCCCGAGCCCACTGCCTTGACCCGGACCTCCGTGTCTACCCCAGGCAGAAATGGAGCGGGCTCTGCTGCAAGGGGAGAGGGAGGCCGAGCGGACGTTGCTACAGAAGGAGCAGAAGGCCGTGGAGCAGTTGCAGGAGAAGCTGGTGGCTTTGGAGACGGGCATCCAGAAGGAGAGGGACAAGGTAACCCATACCTGGGTCCGGCCTGGTGCTGGGTACCAGTGGCCCAGGAAAGAAGGAGAAATTGCCTTCCCTGGGGCCCTATACCTACTCATCATCCACCCTGTACATCAGATGATCTCTGTGGCCCTCCGGGGACAGGGGGACTTGTCCTCTGTGGAAGGTACCAGCTTTGAGGGTGCTGCTGGTGTTTGGGGACTCCTCTATCTGGGTTCTGTGTGCTGCCTCTGGGTGCCTGCCATTCTGGGCCCTTGGTGGACTTTCCAGGATAGCAGTGAGCCCAGCTTGAGGGTCCTGCTGTGAAGACCCAGGTGCATGCGTCTGGTGCTTAGGATGTGGTATTTGGGAGATGGCCCACCGGCCTCTGCTTCCCGTGTCTTGGAGATCTGCTGCTTCTCACCCCACGTGGTCCCAGCAACTGCCCCTGCCCCTTTCAGATTTGTGCCAGCCTGCAGGGGCCACTCCGTCCCACAGGGGCCGTGCCAGCCACGCCCAAGATGCCCAACACCGTGCCAAAAGCTCTGAAGTGGAGAGGGGTCATCTATTTCTGGAGTTGACAGTATTTTTTTGAGAATTCCACTTTCCTTCTGGATTTCTGTTTTGTTTTTTGAGTGCATCTATCACTTGCCCTCAATTTCTGAGGAACTTCAAATATTTTTGACTTTTTTCTTTTTTTGAGCTGTTGCTCTGGCCCCCCAAAACCACACTCCCAAATTCTGTGCCGAATTAACTCCATGCTTGCCAACCAGGCCTGCACTAACGTCCTCTCTAATCACCGTCCTGGGCTCTTCGCATGCCCCTAACTGCCAGGCCACCCAGGCAGGGCTGAGCCACGCCTGCTTTTGCACTAACTCCATGGGTGCCCTTGTGCCCCTGGTCTCTTCCCCACTAATTTGCCTGCTCCTCTTCTTGGTGTGGCACCCCCATGGTTTCGATCAGAAAGGAACTGGCAGGAGGACGCAGCTCAATTGTGCTCCGTGGTGCACTGGCAAGAAGGGCATAAGGATGGGGAGATGCTTGGCCTAAGAGCTGCTCTGCCTGAACAGCTGCTCCCACCGGAAAGGCTGCTTTCCACCGTCCCCCCAGCTGAGGGCTAAGGAGGCCCAGCTGTAGACATGGCCTTAGAGGGTTTGCACAGTGCCTCCACCCACTCACTGGCTAGCCCCCTTAGCGTCCCTGAACTGAGACAATGCCAACGAGACGGGAGGGGAGACTGAGTGTCCCCTTTCCGCCTCCTGGAGATCAGAGAACATAGAGTATTTTAAAAGCAGCATCTAAGGATCTGGGAGACCCTGGACCCCAGGAACTGACCTGATGATGAGGGCCTTCCTCTGGGATGGACAGGAAGGGGTGCACACCGGAAGGACCCTGCCTACGCTCACTTCCCATTGACCTGGGGGTGAGCAGAGGCCTGGGCTCTGCTGTCCCTCTGGGCTTTTGTTGGAGGAGGCGGTGGTGGTCAAGCTGGGTCCATGGGGATGGGGATGGTGGTGACTGGCAGGGAAGGCTCACTCTGCTTCCCCTCCCCACCCCCCAGCCCATGGGCCTATTCTGGCTCTGGCACCAGTAATCAGTTTCTCCTCTGCCTGTCCTTGGGAGGGGTGACTCACCAACTCCTCCCTGCGTCCCCCACCGCCCTCAGGGGTGTCATCTCACTCCAGACAACCATCCACCTCTGTAGACCCACTCCTGGGGCTCCTGTTACCATGGCAACGGCCCAACTAATTGCAACCCTCATCCCTGCTGAAGTTCAGCCTGCAGTGCGAGCACCCCACCCTCTCCCTGGGCGGGAGGGGGAGGGGGGCCAAGGTGGGGTTGGGCTAGGGTCCTGGGGTCTGCTGCACCGCTGTGTCTCTAACACCCTCAGCTCCCCCCATTCACACCTAGCCCTCCCCCCCCCCAATTTAACCATCCCTTTTTCCCAGGGTTAAATTTTGGTCTCTGGACAGTAGGGGAGCTTGAGGCTCTGGATTGCTTGGAGAGGAAGGGCAGGCTGTGGTGGAACCTAACATTCCTGGTTCTAGACACCGAGAGACCAACATTTTCACCCTGTGCCAGCGCCCCTGGCCTTTGTTGCAAGTCCCAGCGCTTGAGTCCCGCCTGACACCTCGTCCTCCTTGCCCCGCCTTTCCCTTCCTGCTCTCTCTCTCCCCCCTCCTCCTCCTCCCTGCACCTCCAGGCTTTCCTCTCCCTGAGCCCCCACCCCTCTCTTCCTTTCTACTCTCTCCCCCACCCCTCCCCTCCCCTGCACCCTTCTAAGCCCCTGTGCTTGGAGGTTCTGGCCAGGCTGGAGAGCTGAGCAGCTCAGGTCCTCTCCCTGTGCCCTGCCTCCTCCCGCCCGCCCTTCCTCTCCTCTTCCCTGCCCTCCCCGCCCCTGCCTTGCCCTCTTCTTCCCGCCCCTCCCCTGTGCCCAGTGGTGCCAGGCCGGAGTGTGTTCTGTCTTCCCGTGCACCTGCCCTCCTCTCCCTCCTCCCCGCCGCCCTGCGCTCCCTGCCCTCCCCCGCGCTCCCCTCCCCGCCCTCCCGCGCCCCCTGCCGGCCCGGAGTTGAGGAGTGTGTGTTCTCTCTCCCTGTGCCCCGCCTCCCCCCCTCCCCCGACCAGGAGAGGGCGGAGCTGGCCGCGGGACGCCGGCGCCTGGAGGCCCGCCAGGCGCTCTACGCCGAGCTCCAGACGCAGCTCGATAACTGCCCCGAGTCAGTGCGGGAACAGTTACTGGAGCAGCTGAGAAGGGTCAGTGCCCCCCCCTCCCCGCCCCGCCACCGCAGACCGAGGAGGAGCGCGGTGGGCGGGACGGCCCCGCAGGGCC